TGGCAATATGTAATCCATTAACTAGTGATTTCCTACTGCGCATTTTTTTATTCTGTAAATCTGCATAACTTGTACCCCTTCACTGTTTTTTTTTCTTTCTTTTCTTTTCTCCTTAAATAAAAATTAAAAAAATATATATATAATGAAGTACTACTTGACCATAATCTTGAGACTTTTATAGGTAAATGGATGCAGCTCGGAAGCACACTCATCAGTGAAATGAACCAGATGCACATGTGTAAATATTGTACTGTCTTACTAGTGTAAGAAGCTGAACAAGTAAGATCCAAAATGCACAATAGATATTGTGAATTGGGAAGAAACTACCAAAAGAAAAGAGAAACTGGGAAGTGGGAAGAGGAAAGGAAGGAAGAGAAAAGAAAAGAAAAAAAAATATATATATATATACAAAATATAGTTAAAGTAGTTACACAGCTGGTTTTTCTTGGTTCATTGAAAAGTTCGAGCTAATATTGTTTGGGCAGTATTTCTTGCCTGTATCTTGTACTCTGAGTAATTACTGCAAAGATAACAGTATGCAATGTGTGAATTATTGTTACTGTCCTACCAGCTTGTTTTGAAACTTTTATTTTTATTTCTTTATATCTTTAAAATAATAAAAATATTATGCCTCCATGAGCAGTATTCTAGAACTTGGGTAAAAGCACTGTGACAGGAATGTTTGGGAATACCTTTCCCAGGAAGCAGAGCACCACCCAGGGCATGACTCACCTGCCTCTCCAGGTGTCACAGCAGAACCCACCTGGCTGCCCCTCCTCCATTCTGCTCTTGAGCCATTTTGTGGAAGTTATAAACAACCTGATCCTTCTTAGCATTACACTAGATCAAATCATCATTGCAAATTCTGGGATGCTTACAATGTCTTTCCTCCGATGCTAGAGGATATTTTGGTCATGGCATAGGTGGGGAGAAGGAACTGGTCTCTATTTACAGAAAATCTTCCCAGCAGTTAAGAGTGGCTTCATAGTTCTTCTGGTCAGTTTTTGCCTACTCCAAGTCTTTTCCTGCTCCAGCCTCTCTAAGTTCAGACCAAAGTGGAACCAGTGGCACATAATAACCTTCAGTTCTAATCCCTTAGGGGTTTTTCTTTTCTGTTCATTAAGCAGGTCAGTCAGCTTGCTTATCTTTTGCTCATAGAAGTGTGAATTGGAATATTCTGAGGCATTCATAGTGAGGACAGGGATACATTTGCTGACACCAATTCTACGAGTACTAGAAAATTAGCTAAGAAGGTAGGGAAAGGAAACAGTATAAGGAAAGATGGAGCTTTGCAAGTGAGAGAAGTTTCCTAGTTGTGAATCTGAAAGTGAATGAACAAACTAGAAGCCTCTTCTAGCCACAATGTTCGAAAACCCACACACAGTGTCGTCTGCCCTGCTTTGACAGGTACCAGCGTCTACCCTGGCTTCCCACTGTAATTGCCAACAAAATTAAGATGCTGATGAAAGCAAGATTAAGGCAAATTGTGTAGTTTTCTAAGTGCAGACATGGTCTTGAATTATGAATATCATCCTATCATGATGATCGTTGAAAACTGAGACAGTTTTTAGATTTGTGTACCCCTCTGTTGCCTTATCTCTGTACCAAGCTTTCCTGTTTCAGAATGAGTGTGCCCTGGTGTTATGGAAACATTCAGCATGTAGAGAAGAGACCATTGAGCAGGGCATGCTGGTGTCAGGCCAAACAGAAATTCAGCTTGCAGGGTAGACGTCAAATCTCTAATCCTTTTTTAAGACTTTTGCTGAGGGGAAAGGGGGCCCACCTTAGAGGGGCTGGGGCTGCTGCTGCACATTAGCTATGCTGAGAAGAGTCGTAAATTTTGGTTGTCAGCATTTTCCGTGGCTTTGTGGTGAAGGTAGTCGAGCTTTCATGTCATCAATGAAATATGTTAGATCCCATCTTTAATGTAGAAACCGCAGTTGTTTGGTTACACTCTTTAAGGAGCTTGTGGTCAGTGTTGCAATATTCGTGTGAGATTTGGTAAATTCTTATGTTTTATTTTCAAGAGAAACAGTTTATTCTGAGGCTAGGGAGTATTTGCTTTTCCTAAGCAGTTTTCGAAGACACGCATGTAAAACAGGGACTGCATGTGTCCTTCTTTTGCATCTTAACACTGTAAAAGGCATCTCACTTTGCTGTGGGCACTTTATGTAAGCATTATCTGTACTATCAGAATGTTTGGCTGAATTAAAAATTATAAAATAGACAAGGAACTGAGAGAGAAAGAGATTGAAGAACCAAGAATGATTTTTTTAAAAAGTTGTATAAAATATTCAATCAAAAATTAGTCTTTTACAAGTTGAACTGAGAATGATTCACTGACAGAAATTTCAGAAAACACAATTGACCCTTTGATTCTTGTCTGTTGGAAAAATTCTCCTGGTACCTACATACTAATAATTTTCTTATCCAGATTTCAAAAGGTTTGCAGTTTAATCTTCTGTGAGCCATTACTGTATTTGAGACAGAAAGAGTTTTATTGGGGAGGATAATAGTTAACCTTACTAGATAGTTGTATAGCTGTGAGTCCATACCTGGCTTTGAGCTTAAACAACAGAAGTAATACTGCAATCATGAGGCCCATCCTTGAGGGACCTCACCTTTACCAGAGGTGCTCAGTGCCAAACTTAACCTGTGCTCTTGAGTTCATTTGCTTCTGAAAAGGATCATTTGCTTTTGGAGATTCCAAAATACCTGGTGGGTGGAGTGCTGAAATGTGTTATTTCTTTTAATTTCTACCCCTTTAAGAGAACAGGGCCTCCCACCAGCTGGGCCTCACAAATGAGCAAGGAAAGACCTTCAAGGGCAGAAGTTAGCCTCAGTGTAGAGCTGGGAGAGGGGAGCCCACAAGTGTGACGTGCTTCTCTCAGGCTCTGTGACAATTGCCGAACGCCATTGTTATTTTCTGGAAGATGCACTGGTATCTACCGTGTCTCCATCTTGCAGTTAGGACTTCAGTAATGCCAGATGTGTTGGGATGATCAGTGAATCATGGTAATAAGATTTATAGTCTCAGCACTATATCCTGCCATAGGACAGGAGACAATTTGATCCTCTGAATGTAAAAAAATGAAAGTCTTTCTTTTCTTACACGAGAAAATCTTTATCTGTGTAGAAGGTGAACGGAAAGAAGAAAGATAACAACATCCCCTCCCGGGAGCACTACATGCTCTGGGTGACACAACGGGTGACCTACTAAAAGCAGAAATGGGAAATGACTACATGACTTAAGTTTCTGTGTCAGTGAGCATAGGTATCAGAAGAAAAAGCAGAAATAGTGGTTAGCAAGGAACCGGAAGACCCAAATGCTACGCCCAGCTCTGCCAGTGCATGAGGTGTTCAATCTTTCCAGGCCTTTGTTTCTCATCTGTAAAATGAGAATATTGGAAAAGTCAACCTGCCATGCCTTTCAATGCTGAAGTCCTGTGATTTTGTAGGAACTAGAGGCCTGTTCCTGTGGGTTGCACAGCTCTCACCCTATAGGCTCCCATCCTCCAATCAATGCAATTTCCTTCTTGAATGAAGTAACAGAATGTGCTGCGGAGCATGCATTGGTTTTCTCAGTATTTTGACTGTCATAGAATTAGGAGTTATGTCTAGACCTGCTGCTTTCCTCAATTACTTTGCTCCAGAATGTGTCCTGTTTGGAATTATCAGGGAGCCGCCTGAGAGATTACTAGAATTACTGCTTTTCTCCACTTACGCATTTCCAGTCTTTTAATAACTGGGATTCAAAATTCCCTGACCAGTAGTTTTAATTTGCATTAAAAACAGATTTGTTATTTACAGAAGCACAAAGAATTTATGGGACTCAACTCCTGCTTGGATCTCACCTAATCGTAGCCATGGAATCAATTAACAGTTCATCTGTAAAATGTGATAAAATCTTATGAGATACATATTGCCCAATAACTGAGAATGAGATGAAAGTATGCCTCATAATAGTAACGGGGCTTCAAGGTTTTACAATCACCATTGAATAGAGTTCCATTAGAAACTCAGTATTTAGGATGGCCACAAAAAACCACACTGTGTCTGAACAGATGATAGAGCATTGAGTAATAAACCTGGCCAGCCATTCCTGCTTTGATTAGTTTCCAACACCCTTGAAAAGAAGGCTGTTTGAATGTTCTTGCTCGTGGCAAATGAGCCTGTAAGACTTGGGGTAGGTAGGGGTGAGGGAAAAGATTGAGTGCAGAGCTATAAATTGCTGCAAAGCTGGTGCCTCCAAGAAGGGCTGCTTGGGAGGCCCAGCATTCTGGTATGCAGTGTGCTTTCATGGGGTAGGGCTCGGTGATATCTGGGAATCTGCTTTGGAAAACCTGAGTTCTTTTCTAACCAGATTGGAGATCATTTTGCAATTTTGTCTGTTTTTGTACAGTTGGTGCTTTATATTTTTGTATTAAATTCAGCTTTAAAATGTAGCATTTTAAAAGATCATGTAGTCTATCTTATTTTATCCTTGAGAAAATTGAAAGTCACAGATGCTGAATGATCTACCCATGATTACAAAGCCATATCATGGCAGAATGCAGATAGAACTGATGTTCCTGGTTTTCTGTGAAACATTCAGTAGATTTATGATTTCCAGTGTGCCATTTGACTGACCACTACAAACTCAATATGTCATCAGCGTTACATGGAATCATTAAACATAAAATGAAGAGCATGGATTTGTTTGTAATAAAGAACCAGCCCAAGAAGTTTAACTTACATACGCCCTAATTTTTTTCATGCTATGCTTTTAGACAAATGAGAGATGCCCAGAAGTTTTCCCCCACCAAACTGTGGTCCTTGTGAATCAGTTTGGGCCGTAGACTCTCCAAGGGTTGGGATATACCATAGTAACTATGAGCCTGGGCTCCCATGTCAGAGAACAAAGTGGGGAGCTGCCCCTCATGTTGTTCACGTAGGTGGGTTTTGGTGCTGAAAGTTCTCAGCCTTGACTCTCTCCATTTTTTTTCTCCTCCTTGTTGCAGTTTTCAAACAACTGTGGGGTATTTCGGAATGAAGCCCAAGGCTGGCGAGAAGGAGATCACACCCAGCTATGTGTTTATGGTGTGGTACGAGTTCTGCAGTGACTTCAAGACAATATGGAAGCGAGAGAGTAAAAACATATCAAAAGAAAGGTAAGGCTCTAATAAAGGAGTCACGGTAGGAAACTGCCTTTTCAAACCTCCCAGAGTACATGTATTTCACACAATTCAGTGTTTTCCTTAGGATCCAGTGGACAACTGGGAGAGATTATTGTCTCAAGGTTCCAGGGGCGTTTTGAAGGCACACAAGCAGATACGCTCATACAATCTGATAAATTACACTTTCTTAACCCCTTCCAATTACTAGCTAGTAAATGAAAGCGGACTTGTGCTAATTTGCAACAGATTGCTTCTCTGTGTATTTTCATGTTGGTCTAAGCTAAATGAGGCAGTCTCGCTGTCGCAGACAGTACAGACAAATAAAAGTGAATGCTTTTCCCATTAATATACTGCACTTGCATCAAAGGGAAATCTCCAAGGCTCAGGCCACACTTCACACAGTGTCGAAGCCCCACGCTGGATTTACAGCGTCACTTGTGACTCCCTGTATCCTGCTGAGGACATCAAACTGCATGCCGCTCGGCCTCCTTGCAGTCTCCTGATTTTATTAGTTGGGGGTTGAAGAAAAAAATCAGTTCTGAATATAGGCTGCGTGCGTGTGTGTGTGCGTACATGCATGCGTGCATATGTGTGATCATAGTACTGATCAAGTTGCGTTGTTCTGTAGAATGTGTCATGGATTTAAACTTTGAGTAGGTCTTGTCACTAACTCTGGAGGAGTAGATGTATGAGCGTGTCATTCACAGTGGTGCACAAGGAAACAAAGTTGTACCAGTAGGTAAAAGAACTTAATTATAGCATCTATAGCTCATTAACTGTGTGTCAATTGAAAAGTAAATGTCAAGTGACATTAGTAAGAATATAGATTGTTGACCATATCATGAAAAAAGATCTATAAATCTTGGCATGCAAATCATTATTACCCTTTTACTGTTTACTGAGCCCTTTTAAAGTTCAGTTGAACTTTAAATTATCTTTAGTTGCTGGGGATTTAGCTCAGCGACATAAGCGCCTGCCTCACAAGTGCTACATCGTGAGTTCGATCCAAAAAAAGAAAGGAATTATCTCCAGTTAGCATACATTCTTCTAGGAGAGTGATGGAGTGAAGCTTCTCTTCCTGTTACAGCAGGGTAGCAGCTTTGGCTCTCCAAATCCACACTGGAAATCTCGGAATCCAGCAGTGAGTTCAGCACAGGCACCTTGGATATTGTGCGTAGTCTTTAGTGAATTTGTCCTTGAAACTAAGAAACAGTCCAAAAACAAACAAACAGCAGCATCAGCAACAGCTATAAAACCCCAGCAGTTTGTTGATTTTCATTTTAATAATCTTCTTTTGAAATACTGAACTGCAGTCACAGGAATTGTGGTTTTGCCGTGTTGGTGGGGTCCAGCTGCCCTTCAGAATGTCATTTTCTCTGATCCCCAGCCACAGCCTCTGCTGCCTGGCTTCCTGGGTGCAGCTGGTGAATTGCCTGCTTCACACTCTGTAAACCAACACCTTGAAAGGTCACGACTTCACCAGGCTCCTTCCAGTTCCCCTTTAGCAATCTCAGGGGACTCTTCCTTTCAGCTGTGTTTTGTGAGATAGATCGCCAAGGTTCTCTCAAAGTTAATGATGGCCCGTAGCATATTTTTAGAAATAACTTCTTTAAATAAATCTACTGTTAAGAAATGTTAGCATGTTATGTATATTACTGTTCAACCAGCTTAACTGATTGTCATTCAGAGATTTGGTGAAGTGAGGATTTTTATGCTTGTAATTTATTTGTTAAAAATTTTAACTTTTTAGTTATTAGAATTGCAGGTTTATAAGGATGAAATAAGCAAATTAAATTCTTCTGTTATACTTAGATAAGAAACTATGATTACTATTTTAATATTTAATGATATTTGATAGTATAGTTTTTATCATACTTTTCCCAGAAGCCCATTAAATCCCAACAGCACTGTCAAGTGATAACAAAACATCATTAGCAGGAATGCTACAAAGGCATTCTAAAAACCAAACGAAAGCCTGATGTAACTGTTAGAGGAAAAAACTGATCAATCGCATCAAAAGAAACTTAACCCACTTGATTTTTAGATGTATTTGAAGGCAAATTAAAGCCTAAGGCATTATTGAGAAAAAACTACAAAGAGACAGATTCCACTCCAAATAATGTTTTGTTTAAATTCTACTTCTAAATAAATTGAAAGTATTCACATCTATTTTAGGCCACTGGTGGTTAATTTTAGCCTGCATTTCGTAAGTATGTCTTGGCTTTGTGCAAAAGGGAAATGGATGCACTTTTGTAAGAAGGTAGCCACTACCCTCATCAAACCAGGATCAACCACAATGCACAAATGACAGTAAAAATTCTCAATGTTCTTGTGCCTTGTGAGTGGAAAATAAACAGTATCATTAAATTAGTGTTAGCTGTGCTCTGTGGTTCAGTAAGGAGAGAGAGTATTCACTGGAGATTAACTGTGTTGTTAGAAGAACAATATACTGTATGATAGCATACTAGTAGTGTTAAAATTAATTGTTCCTTGGCATTTAAACCAGTCTTAAGAAGAGCAGACTTCTGCATCTAGGCACAAACCCCAAACCCTCTTCCTGGACCTCAGTGTGCACTCATAGAGGAGTTGTGCTGTCCTAGTAGCAGTATTCTTCCCCGAGGTAAAATGCACCCAGTCCCTGCTAAGCAGTGCTCAGCAGTGTAAAAAGAGAACTCTAGACAGTCAAAGATCAGCATTTTTACTTTTCACTGGGCAACATTCGCTATGTGTTGTTGGGCCAGTAGTTTAGAATTATAGACCCAATTGTCACTTCTATAAAATATATGCATTAGAATGAAACAGAAACTAAATGTTAACTCTGATCTCTTCTAGCTTGAAATCTCTCTAAATCTATAAAACTACAATTTGCTTTTCTAATATTCTGAGAACCTGTATGCTTCATTTTTAGGTAAAACCCTTTACATTTTGCTCTTGAGTTTCTTGGGGTCTACATTACCAGAAATTTTAGGGCAAAATCTGACAGAGCTATGGGCAGAAACTGGAAGCAAGGGTTGTTGTTGCCCTCTTGAAATTGGTAATTACACACAGTTACCTTGCTTCACTCCCCCAGTTCTTCTCGTAAAATACTAACATTGGCCTTGAAAAATCACATTTTTTGAATTGAGAGTATGCTACAAAAAATAATTTCCTCCTCTCTTACATATCCAACATTGCATTTAATGGAATGTTGTAAGTTCACCAAGCGTATATCTTCTCCCCAGTGGCAGCTCAGATTCAACTTTACATTTTCATGTATTTTTGTGCTTGTATGTTTTGATATTCAAACAACCTACAGATTTGGAGTACAGGCTTTTCTAGTATTTATTAAATCTATGGGTTAACCGTGTGTACATAATTGCAAGGAGGTCACCTGATTTTTGCTGCTTCGTTTCTAGGCTATTCTTATTCCTTTTCTGTTTTTTTGTTTGTTTGTTTGTTTGTTGTTTGTTTGTTTTTTAGCAATTGCTCTGGACTGTAGGACCCTTACTCATATTTCGGAACTTTTCCCACATATGCCCACATGTGTCCACAAACCATTACCACCCACAAAATGAGCTGTGAATTTGGTGAAGAAGGCCCAAGCGAGTCATGGCTCCAGAAATAAAGTCTGGGCAAATAATTCACCTTGAGCCAAAGCTAACTTGAAAAGTACTATTTAAAAACCCATAATGTGTAACTAATGAGTGAATAAGGAGTTTAGTAAATTTTATGTGAAATGCAAATAAGAAATTTCATTATCCATATAGCTATAATTTACACCATGGGCAATGGATAGTTCTTTTGTTTTTTTTTTTTAATCTGTCTGTGCATATTCCTTGCACCTATTATGATTAATTACGCAATTGCCATACCCTTGACAGCAGATAGTTCCAAGCTGCTCTGAGCTTATCCCAGAGGCTGTTCTCAGCACTTCCTCCTGCTCAGGTTGCTTTTGGACCAAGAGCTGAGGACTAAGTGAGGCCATCCTTCAGCCCACAGAGGAGTCCTGATTACAGTGAACACATTGCAAGAATTCATCCTTTTGCATGATAAACTTATTCTTAGATAAAGCTCCATCAACTCAAATTTTATTTATTGAATTCTCCTTTTCTAATGACATATACATGAGTCATTCCAATAATTTCTAACAAGTTTTCTTTTCCCTAGTCATCAGCTATCTAGTTAAATGATTTATATACCTAGCTGCTAAGAAACTTTGTGTTTTAAAGGAATCACTTAATAATACAAATATTCATCCTCTAATAACTTAGCAAAACTTTGAATTTTCCTGTCACATTTTGAAAGCAGTTCTAAGCAAGTATACAAACAAGTGCCCTGAAGACCTAACTTATAAACAGAATTACCATGTCTCCAAAAGTAAAACATGTTTATTTCCCAAGCAATAAATTTAAAATTATATTTGCAAAATTAAAAATATGAATGAGAGGAAACAGACTTTTCAAAATGGTAAGAATTATAAGATCACTGATTTTTAAAAAAGAAACATGCTTCAGCCATCTTTCCTGTGGATACTGTCTTCCACTTTTCCTTTTTAGCTTTTAAAAGATGAGTTTATATTTGTTTTTTCATTGCACCCTGGCTGCAATACTGAAATGCACTTAAAGGAAAAATAAGTTTTCCTCTTGCATTACAATCTGGGTGTGGGGAGTTTCAACACTGGGACCCCGTTTCCTTCTCTTTCATGGCTTCTATCCATTGGTGTGGTTCTTATTCACAAAGGTAAAGATGGTTCCTGTTTTGTTCACCACTATTGCTACCCAATTCCTGCCAGTGCTAGGATACACCCTATCTTTTGAGTAGCATGAGCTGAAAGATGCACACATCTCTTTTCCTTTTATTCCAGAGCATAACTTTCATAAACATACACAGGGGTGACTCAGAATGCAGGCTTAGCTTGGATCCAGGTGCCTGGCTAAAATCTCAAAGGTTTTGCTACCAAAAGAAGCAGAAGAATGTCATGCTGAGACCATTGACAGGCTTGTTACATTTCGATG